TGTCACACCCCCCGCCGGCCGTGCTCCCTCTGCCTTCCTGGCTGCCGCTTCTCGGGCGGACGGCCAACCGGGCGGTCCCCGGCTTCAGTGCGGGCTTTGGCGAGCCCGTCACAACCTTATTAAACTGACTGATCAGAAGGTAGGGTGAGGGGGTGGGAGGGAGGGCGAGAATAGCTATTTGAGTCAATGAATGGCTAATCAGGGGTGATAAGTGGAAAGCTATCTTTGTAATGCTTAATTAGCATCTTTGTTAAGGCCCATTTGTAAAGTGTCAAATTTAAGGATGAAAGAAAGTTCTGAAGTTTCCCTCTGTAATCTGGTGTTAAAGTCTCTTTGAAGGTAGGGTGAGGGGGTGGGAGGGAGGGCGAGAATAGCTATTTGAGTCAATGAATGGCTAATCAGGGGTGATAAGTGGAAAGCTATCTTTGTAATGCTTAATTAGCATCTTTGTTAAGGCCCATTTGTAAAGTGTCAAATTTAAGGATGAAAGAAAGTTCTGAAGTTTCCCTCTGTAATCTGGTGTTAAAGTCTCTTTGAAGTAAGATTCATGTAGTAAGGTTGTTTTTTTCACTTCCCTTTCCCCCTACCCCTCTCTTTCATGGAGTGTGTGCTGTGACTGGCAGGTGGAAACAATTGACTTCTAATTAAAGTTTGAATTCTAGAAGCCTCTGCTGATTGGCTGAGCCTTGGTAGGGGGAGGGACTTTCAGGCAATCCAGGGTTTTATAAAGCAGTGAGCAAGTGCTGGCGAACAGGTGAGTGCTAACAGGGAGTTTAGAGTGGGATTTTGGAAGGGGAGAGAGAAAGGAGGTGAGGTTCTCTTGCCTTTATTTTTAAATCCTTTCTTCAGGACAGCACAGATGGATGGTGATAGGTCTGCTGTTGTTACCTGCACAGCGTATGCCATGTTTGTCTTCTTCCCGGAAGAAAGAACGGATTTCATCTGCACTAACTGCAAGCTGGTCGCCATTTTGGAAGAAAAGATTAGAGGACTGGAGGCCCAAGTGTCGACCCTATGCTCGATTAGAGAGGATGAAGACTTCCTGGATAGAAGGCAGCGTTTAATCCCGCAAGCATGGCAGGCAGAAGAGCTGGAGAGGGCAGTACAGGACCAGGAATAGAACTGGCAGCGTGTAACTTCTAAAAGGGGAAGAAGGCCAGTACGGGAATCCCCAATGCTATAGAGGTAAGTAATCACTTCCAGGCTCTCTCCACAGGCTCTGCAGTGGTGAATGCTTTGGAAGGGACCTCACAAGGAAGAAACCGCAAGGGAACAACAGCAGTGATGTTGTGGTTGGTGTCTACTACAGACCACCGAATCAGGTGGATGATGTAGATGAGGCTTTCTTCGGACAACGGAGAGAACCTTCCAGGTTGCAGGCTCTGGTTCTCGTGGGGGGACTTTAATCACCCTGACATCTGTTGGGAAACGAATACGGCAGTACACAGGCAATCCAGGAAGTTTTTGAAGAACGTTGGGGATAACTTCTTGGTACAAGTGCTGAAGGATCTGACCAGGAGCCGTGCGCAGCTTGACCTTCTGCTCACAAACAGGGAGGAACTAATAGGGGAAGTGGAGGTGGGTGACAACCTGGGAAGCAGTGATCATGGAATGGTAGATTTCAGGATCCTGACCAAAGGAAGAAAAGAGAGTAGTAAAGTACACACTTTGGACTTCAGAAAAGCAGATTTTGACTCCCTCAGACACCTGATGGGCAGAATTCCCTGGGATGCTAACATGAAGGGGAAAGGAGTCCAGGACAGCTGGCAGTATTTTAAAGAAGCCTTATTGAAGGAACAGAAAGAAACCATCACGATGCGTAGCAAGAGAGGCAAACATGTAGGAGACCGGACTGGCTTACAGGGGAAATCCTTGGTGAACTTAAGCACAAAAAGGAAGCTTACAAAAAGTGGAAATTTGGACAAATGACCAGGGAGGGGTTTAAATATATAGCTTGAGAATGTTGGGGGGTTATCAGGAAGGCGAAAGCGCAATGTAATTGTGACTGGCAAAGGATGTGAAGGATAACAAGAAAGGTTTCTACAGGCATGTTAATAAGAAGAAGGTGATCAGAGAGGGTGTGCGGCCCCTACTGGATGAAGGAGGTAACCTAGTGACAGATGATGTGGGGAAAGCTGAAGTACTCAATGCTTTCTTTGCCTCTGTATTCACGGACAAGGTTGGCTCCCAGACTAATGCGCTAAGTGACGCAAGATGGGATGAAGATGGACAGTCCCTGGTGGGTAAAGAACAGATTAGGAACTATTTAGAAAAGCTAAACGTACACAAATTCATGGGTCCGCACGTAATGCATCCGAGGGTACTGAGGGAGTTAGCAAATGTCATTGAAGAGCCTTTGACCATTATCTTTGAAAAGTCGTGGAGATCGGGAGAGATCCCGGATGATTGGAAAAAGGCAAATGTAGGTGCCCATCTTCAAAAAAGGGAAGAAGGACAATCTAGGGAACTGTAGGCCGGTCAATCTTATCTCGGTTCCTGGAAAAATCATGGAAGGGATTCTTAAGGGATCCATTTTGAGGCACTTAGAAGAGAGGAAAGTGATTAGGAATAGTCAGCATGGATTCACAAAGGGCAAGTCGTGCCTGACCAACGTGATTAGCTTCTATGATGAGGTAACTCGCTCTGTGGACATGGGAAAGTCAGTGGATGTGATATACCTTGACTTTAGAAATGCTTTTGATATGGGCTCCCACAATATTCTTGACAGCAAGATAAGGGGCAAAGGGGCATACATTATAATATTTAGCATATCTGGCACATAAATACTTTGCAATACTGGCTACAAGAGTGCCATGCAAATGCCTGTTCTCACTTTTAGGTATCATTATAAACAAGAAATGGGCAGCATTATCTCTTGTAAATGTAAATCAACTTGTTTGTGTTAACAACTGGCTGACCAAGAAGTAGGACTGAATGATTTGTTGATTCTAAAGTTTACGTTGTTTGTTTTTGAGTGAAGTTATGCAACAAAACTATATTTGTAAGTTTCACTTTCATGAGTAAGCAAATGCACTATAGTATTTATATGAGGAAAATTGAAACGTATTTCTTTTATCATTTTTACAGTGCAAATATTTTAATAAAATAATATAAAGTAAACACTGTAGACTTTGAATTCTATTTTGTAATTAAATCAATATATAAGAAAACATAGAAAGGAACCCACAAATATTCAATAAATTTCCATTGGTATTCTATTATTGTTTAATAATGTGTTTAAAACTGTGATTAATTGCAATTAATTTTAAATCACAAATAATTGTTTAGTTATTTTCATGAGTTAACTGCAATTGACAGCCCTAGTGATTAATTAATTAATGGGGGCTTTCATCCCATTACAAATTATTGCTTTTTTAAACTAGCCCTCTTCTGTTGTAGTCTTATAATATTGAAATATATTTGTAGCAATCATAAGGTAAGCAATGTTTGTTTGATTGTTATAATGTTTGTTAAAATTAAATACTTAGGCTGTGTCTACACTGGTGCAATCTTGCACAAAAGCGGCCGCTCTTGCGCAAAAAGTTGCCTGTCTACACTGGCCGCATATTCTTGTGCAAGTACTGTAAACTGACGTTCTAATGTATGAAATCAGGGCTTCTTGCACCAGAACTCTGATACTACCACTCAGGAATAAGCCCTTTTGCACAACTGTTCTTGCGCAAGAGGCCAGTGTAGACAGGCAACATGAATTTCTTGCGCAAGAAAGCCCCACGGTTAAAATGGCCATCAGAGCTTTCTTGTGCAAGAGAGCATCTACACTGGCATGGATGCTCTTGCGCAAAAGCACATCTCTTGTGGAAAAGCACATGCCAGTGTAGACGCTCTCTTCTGGAAGAGTTTTTGCGGATGAACTCTTCCACAAAAGAGTTTTTGTGTGTGAACGTGCCAGTGTAGATGTAGCCTTAGTGTTGCAGAGGTATTGTTATATCTTGCCACAATGACTGAATTCTGGGTTATTTCAATTGACACTTTTCTTACTTTCTTTAATATTATAGGAAGTGCCACCCCCAGGCTCCTATGAGGTTCAAAAATCATTTGAGAAATCACATAGTAAAAGCATCTACATGCCTCCCCGAACCACATTGGCTAAAAGAAAGCATTCCTCTTTTCTCAGTGCAACACCTAGAAAAAATTTACCCACTACTGACAAAAACATACCAGGTAAGTAATTTCTTTCCTATAAAAACTGTAATTTGAACAGCTAAAATATTATTCTATTTCTTGAGAATCATTCCAAAATGTTAGTGTTAAATTATTGAAGTCAAGTGGTCTTAGATTGGGATTTTCAAAGGAGCCTAAGGAAGTTAGCCATTTCCCCCGGTGTGCAAATCTGAGCCATAATGTCAGTCATCCAGTTGAGTGACGGGTAAGTAGAAAGAAAAAAAATCAACTCATGTTTAAAATATTTCATTCAAGGTAACCACTTCTGTATCCTTTCTGAGACGAATATGAGGCTATCTGGTCAAATGGAAATTAATTAATGAATTGATTAATGAAATAACCAATGTGGTTGTATTTTAAGACTGTGCTTGTGTTGTAGCTATGATTTTTCCAGGGGTATGTCTACACTACAAAGTTAATTCGAACTAACAGATGTTAGTTCGACTTAACTTTAATAGGAGCTACACATACAAATCACTAGTTCGAACTTAATTCGAACTAGCGGAGTGCTTAATTCGAACTAGGTAAACCTAATTCTACAAGGACTAACGCCTAGTTCGAATTAAGTAGTTCGAATTAAGGGCTGTGTAGCCACTTAATTCGAACTAGTGGGAGGCTAGCCCTCCCCAGCTTTCCCTGGTGGCCACTCTGGGCACCACCAGGGAAACTCTTCTGCCCCCTTCCCGGCCCCGGAGCCCTTAAAGGGGCACGGGCTGGCTACAGTGCCCATGCCAGGTGCAAGCCTGCCAGCACCCAGCC